AAAATATACACAAAATAAATTTCAAAGTAAAATTACAATAAGCCAATAAATGGAAAATAAAATACCTAATAAAACTGGACTACTGTTTTAAACGATGCACAAAAGTCAGCTGTGAATAAATGAAACACTTGAAGCTATAATCTCCTAGAGGAAAGCATAGGGAGTGAATTCTCATGGATATCAGATTTGGCAGTGATTTTTTGTTGTTGTGACACCAAAGGCAAAAACAAACAAGTAGGTCTTCATCAAGCGAAAGCTTCTGTACAGCAAAGGGAACCTGTAACAAAATTGAAAGGCAGTCTACTGAATGGGAGAAATTATTTACAAATCATGTATCTGATAAAGGAGTGACATCTAAATTACATAAAGAATTTATAAACGTCAAATAAAAAGTCAGCTCGATTAATAAGTGAGTATAGCATCAGAATAGCCACTTCTGCAAAACAGCTACAAAAAATGGTACCTAAAAAGCTTCTCAACATCACTAATCAGCAGAAGAAAGTAAATCAAAACTATTAGAATATAATTTCTCAAAAAGACAAAAGATGAGTGTTAGAGGAAATGTACAGAAAAGGAAACCCTGCCATATCATTGATTAGAATGTAAATTGGCGCAGCCACTGTGAAAAACATGTACGATTCTTTTAAAAATTAAAAAATAGGGGGCCACGGAGATAGTTCAACTGACAGAGCATATGCTGGAAGCCCAGGTTCAATCCCCAGCACCTTATGGTTCCCTGAGCACCACTGAGATTATTCCCCCCCCCCACTGCCTAGCAACTGGGTGAGACCCCAAAATAAAATAGAAAAAGATTAAAAATAGGACTAACATGATTCCACAAGACTACTTCTGGGTATTTATCAAAAAAACACTAAATTACAATCTCTAAAAATTGTCTGTCCACCATACCACTATTTATGATAGAACAGAGAAAAATCCAACTATCCATAGATGGACAGCTATATAAAGAATATGTGAGGGGTATTATATAGCTCAGCACTTGAGTATATGTCTTGTATGCATGATACCCAGCACCATGAAAAGACAAATAAGAACATGTGATATACATACATACACATATATACAGACAGATACACTCTATAGAATATTATTCAACCGCTGAAAAAAAGGTAATCCTGCCATTTGCTGCAATATTCACGGGCCTTGAGAACATTATACTAAGTACATTAAGTCAGATAGAATAAGACAGATACTATATTTCTCACTCACATATGGAATCTTAAAAGAAAAAGTACTCTACTTTGAGGCAGGAGTGATAGCACAGCAGGTAGGGCATTTGCCTTAGACGTGGCCGACCCAGGTTTGATTCCCAGCATCCCATATGGTTCCCCCAAGCAACGCCAGGAGTAATTCCTGAGTGTATGAGTAACCCCTGTGCAATGCCAGGTGTGACCCAAAAAGGAAAAAAAAAAGCAAAAGTACTGAACTCATACATACAGAGAACAGATTGGTGGTTGCAAGGAGTGAGCTGAGGTGGAGGCAAGTATGAAGAGGGTCAGAAGGCACCTGCTTCCAGTTTTAAGATTAAAAACCTAAAGATATGATGTATAACATGGTGAATATTGTTAACAGTATTGAATTATATATGTGAAAGTTGCTAAGAGTAAATCTTAGCTCTCATAATAAAATGATTTTGTAGCCCTATGGCCCTATGTGGTGCTGAATGTTAATTAAAACTTAACTGTGATGACCATTATTTTATGTATTTAAAATTAATACAATGACTTATGTTAATCATATCTCAGTCAGCTGTTGGTTTCAATATATTTCACCATGCATAGCTGCCACAATCAATATAATTGCTGCCATAATAAAGAATTTACATGCAGTATTAATATATAAAATTAAGAGCATCTGTCAAAAGCAAAATGTAAAGCAATAAATTATTGAAACTAAGTTTTAGTATGGAATAAATTATGGGGTACTTTCATTTTGTTTTGGAGTCCCACCTAGCAGTTCTTGGGGACCACCCTGACACTGTAATCCTTCTGGTGTTCAGAGGTACCATGTGGTGCTAGGGAGCAAAGCGGGATTGGTCGCATAAAGGGCAAGCACCTTAACCCCTGTGCTCTCTGGTCCGGTTATCATATGTTTTCATATGAAAAAGGAGAATGCAGGAAAGTCATAATAAAACAGGGCACTCAAACTTTTTTGACTTGCACCCCCTTTTCACCTAAGAACATTTTTATGTGGCCCATGCCATGGAGGTTTATAATATAAGTATACCTCTCAGATATACTTCTCTTCTTGGCAATATTTCATTCATTTTATTCTAAACAGATAACGGTAGATTAACTTCACATGAGATAGGAAGTAATCATTTAAAGCATATACGTAGTTTGTATGTGTGAATATTATAACTCTCTCTCTTCCTTACGACCCTAATTCTCTTAGTATTTCAGAAGAGCTTCCTGTGCCATGTTACCATATAGACTCAAAGAATCAGAGAAAGTTCTTTTTTAATTGAAACCAAGGATTTTCAGTACCCACCTAGGATATGCTTCTGTCTTTTTTGCACATGTATGGTGACAGGGATTGAATTCAGGGCCTCACATTCAAGGTATACAATTTTTTAATGGAGAGCATTGTCCTGGGTTCCTTGTGAAATAAAAAAATAAGAATAATGGGTTTAATTTTCCTGGATATTTTTAAATATTTTTGGTGCTAGGGATCAAACTCAGGGCCTCAAAACTATAAGGCAAGTGCTATATCAGTGCACTATATCCTCAGTCCCTGGCTGGTTTAAGTTTGAACCAAGAATTCCTGGAAATTCCTGGAAAATGGGATCTCCTTCATATACTTCCATGTTGAATCTAATTTATACTGTTATTCATTTTATATATACATATGCCAAGATATTAAACATGAGTGTTACAAATAAGGTTTAAAAATTCGTATAGTTTGGATTGGATAGACAGTACAATGGGTAGGACCTTTGCCTTGCCCACAGCAAAATTGGGTTCAATCCCCAGAACCACATATGGTTGCCCAAGCCCCACCAGGAGTTAGCCTTGATCAAAGAGCCAGGGGTAATCCTTGAGGAGCACTAGATATGGCAAAAAAACACAAAATCTTTTTATAAAATTCACTATAGCAGAGCTTGAATAGGGATACATTGCGTAGAAAAAAAAATTCACTGATGTTTCTTAAACAGTATTGCTAATTGATAGACATATTTGGACATTGATGATAAAATGTTACTTAAAATATTGTGATGTTATTGAAAGAAACAAGAATGAAAACTTACTAACACATAGCACAATTAGCAACTTAGCACAATTACAGTCACGGAGGAAAGCCCAAGTGGCAGAGATCAGTGGAGGTGGCAAGCGTATTTAAGTCCCTAAATCACTGACCGCCCCCTCATTTCTGGCTCTGATTGACACCAGAGATTATCCTCCATCATATTGGTTACTGCTCACTTGCTGAAACAAGGGCCTGTTTCAGATGGAAGTGACAACAAGTAGACTAAAGAAGTTACTTTCACTCCTAGGAGGTTGAGAGTTATCAAAAGTTTGTTTCAAAGAATCTCCACACCTTCTCATGTGTCACCTAAGTAAAATATGGGGCTATAGAAAGAGAACAGTATGTGAAGTGCATGCATTGGACTTGACCGACCGAGGTTCAATCCCTCGCACAAAATAAGTCTTATGAGCCCCACCAGAAGTGATCCCCAAGCACTGCTGGCCGTGACCCCGAAACAAACAAAAAGAACCCTCTTAGGTACAGGAGATAGCAAAAGTAGTGGAACACCTACCTAGTATGTATGAGACCCTGAGTTCACTTTCTGGCACTGTATGTTCCCATACCCATTCACCTCCCCCAGAACTGCTGGGCATAGGCCCCTGTTACAAAACAAAAGCAAAAAACTCTCTCTTGCTATTTGAAGTGTATGAGGTATATTTTCTTGGGAGGGGGCATGGTGAGTATGGACTACATCTGGCGATGCTCAGGGCTTACTCTTGACTTTTAGCTCAGGGATCACATGTGATGGTATTCAGGGGATCAAATTAAGGTTGTTGGCATGCAACACAAACACCTTAATGCCAGTGCTATCTGGCCAGTCCCAGTTGGTATTTTAACACATGAATAAATAATAGAGGCACAGAATGACAACATCTGGAAGGGAACTTTGATTCCCTCAGAAGAACACCCACCCCTCACCAACTTTCTATCCAAAAAACTCATTTACTTGTCATAAGAAAATCTCCAAATTTTTGTTTTTTCCCCCTTATAGCCTCCACATACATCATTATAACAGAACAAAGGAACAGAACTCCCAAGCATGCCTGTTATCTATAGCCCTTAGAATATTAATATTTAATTATCTATAATTCATAGTTTTCTCCCCATCACATTGTACTTTAAAGGTACATTGAGACTTTTTGCTTAAATTTCAGAGGAAGAATAATAATACCACAAAATCTCCACTCTTTATAAAGTGAGTGCAAAATGTTGCATTATTTCTTTTGTGTTGAAGAGACAGCACAAGTGTTCAGAAGATATTTTCTTTTTGTTTCTGTGTGACACTCAGCAGTGCTCAGGGCTTTCTCTTGGCCTTGCACTCAGGGATCCCTTCTGGCAGGATTCAGGGGACCATATGAGGTGATGGCAATTGAACCTGAATCAGCCACATGCAAGTGCCTTCCATCCTTTATAAAAGAAATTTAATAAAGAGAAAAACACTTCACTTGTGTTCATGAGGCATAAGCATTTTCTGTCAATTTGTTCCTGAGCTCTAATAGATAGATGCATGGTTTTTGTCTCCAAACTTGAGTACTTCCTACATGGCATACTTCCCTTTTAGGAACTGTTCCTTAATTATTAAGCCTGAGAAGCTCTATTTGTGTTATTTGCAAACAAGTAAAAAATGAATTAGTAATGAGTTTTAAAATGAGTCCATGGGACTTTTTTTCTCTGGCATCTCTGTTAGTTCCCTCAGTGTGATTTGCCATGTGTTTGTGTTTGCTTTCATAAAGGAGAGGAGGATCTTCTCAGCCCTCCCCAGGACACAAGCACAGGGTTAGAGGAAGTAATGGAGCAACTCAACAACTCCTTCCCTAGTTCGAGAGGTGAGTTCACAAGTCCCTCAGACTTCCCCACAGTAGGCAACTCCTTTCCCTGCCCACCTAGTCTGTGTATTTTTCATGTGTCAACACCTTCTGACAAACTGCCGGCTCCTGAGAAGATTTGATTTTTGAATGGTGACTTGGAGTTTGAGGTGATTTTCAAGTGAAGTAACTGTGTGAGTCAGATGTTTCTAGAAATCATAAATACTTAGAAAATATTTCACTTTCTTGACACGTTAGTCTGAAGATAAATTAGAAGATGGCTTTTATTTAAGCTCAATTATGATGTGACTCTTACAGACAAGGAAATTAATGCCCTAACAGTGCCTTTGCCAGCGACACACAGCAACGCCCAGAACATGGCTAGTGAAATTAGTGGTGATGATTCTGGCCCACAGTCCTGAAACTTTTTACATATAAAAAAATTGCATTCTTCCTCATCATATAGGTATAGGTACAATTAAATCTTTATACTAGCGTCTGTAAAGTGGAATACAACATATTCCATGATGCCTTTATTTCTCACCATTTAGACACTGCATGTTTTGCCCCTCATACAAAGCAATATCTTACCCCAACTGTGTTTTCACATCAGCCAGTATAAGTTTCAAGTGTCTTGCCTTATTCTAGGAGGAACCATGACCACTGTTGTTTATTTCTTGGAGTATTTATTTGGGTTTATTGCCTTGATATTCTTCCCTTCCCTTCAGTGAATAACAAGAATGGTAGCAGTCACCTATGATCAAATAGATATCCAAAGAAAGAGAAGCAGAAGAGGGAAAACACTAGACTTTATGGCCCAATTGGCACACCTAATAGTCTGCCCTGAAAGGAAGGGTGGCAGAAAATTTGAGCTCTTTGTTGCTCTCCATGAGGGCAATGAGAAGGGTGTTTGAGTCGTGTGTTTTTCTTATCGTTTTGTTGAGTGTCAGTTAACAATGGCCATTTCCTAGCTATTTGATGTATGAGTGAACGTTGTACAGTGTGCATTAAAAGCAATAATGTTCTGATAGAGCGTTGCTAAGGAACTGTCAGGAAAAGCTAATTTTAAATGTCTGCGCCAGCCATCTTTCCATCACAGAGTGTCTCTGATGTATTGATTGCAAGAGATAAAAATCGTATGTTTTCTACCCACCCAATACCCCCCCCAGCACTTCAACCTATCTTAACTGAGTCCCCTTCTCGAATGCTATGATTTATGATGAGATGACCACAAACAGTATTGATATAAATTAGGTGTTTACACCTTTATCCCACCAGCTTTCACCTTTATTGCCAGCAGAGGTTTTAGGGTTACAAAGAAGCAATACCATTCTTTGCCTTCAAGGTGCTCATGGTCGACTTTCAAAGATGTCCCCATCACAATGCAGTAGTAGTATTGCTGTCACGGAGATTTCTGCAAGATGAATGAATTCCCAAAGTACCCCTTTATATAAAAATAGGAAGGAGTTAGCTCAAATAATGCAGGTGTCTTTTTCAAAATCGCACCTTAAGTAATGGGAGTCCACTTTTCATTGACCCACACTCTCTTGAAGGACACAGACCAAGTTATGCCTAGTCCATAGAAAGCTAATATCTTAGAGGACATTGCACTTTTAACCTAAGTCTATCATTCATGTTTTTCATCGTTGAGTTACAAAAACTGAACTTCTCAGTTGCTCCAGCTGTTTCGGACAGCTGTTTGAGTAAATCAAAACATATGTCAGAGCCAGAGGTCTGACATTTAGTGGAAATGTAAATATTAAATACCATCTCTTTCCTGGTTTACTTAACCCTGCTAGATAATCATCCACAAAGACTTCTTTAAAAATCACAATTTTGGAGGGCTGGATCAATAGCACAGCAGGTAGGGCATTTGCCTTACACGTGGCCGACCCAAGTTCGATTCCCAGCATCACATATGGTCCGGTCCCCTGGGCACCGCCAGGAGTAATTCCTGAGTGCATGAGCCAGGAGTAACCCCTGTGCAACGCCGGGTGTGACCCAAAAAGCAAAGAAATCAATTAAATAAATAAATATCACAATTTTTCATAAATGCACAGTATATAGATAGAGTTAACATGAACTTTAAACCAATAACTTTTTTTTATTACCCTTTGGTACAGTTTTTGACTTGGAACTTAAGCCTTAAGGTGTCAGCTAATCTTTATCTTTCAGCTTCACTATTAAGTACCTGGGATCCCAAAGAAATTATGCACCTTGTTCCTGGCCATTTAGCAAGTTAAATTAGGCCTCCACCTTATCTTGATGACCTTTGCTAAATTGTTATCCAAGTTAACAAAAGGGCTGTATGCTTTTCTATTTATTGATAAACCAGTAGCCAGTATATCCTGCATAATAGAAATATAAACCCCTGAGTGTTCAAGGTGTGAGTATGTGCACATGTAGCTTTGTGATTATATCTTTCCTGATCTATCTCCAGATTTAGTTGGCTGTTCACAACCACTTTAGAGATTTGAGTGGATCTGTTTATATTAAGCACAGAACAGTAGCCCATTTTTATCAAATCTATTTATGTATAACCTGGCTCTGTCTTGAAGTAGAAATAGGATTCCACAGTGAAAAAATCATTTTTATAAGATAGAACAATACATAATTTAAAAGTAAACTCTTTAAGTGATCTGTCTATGCACCTCTGTTCATTTAGCAGTCTGACAGAGGTATTTTTACAAGCATGGGCATTAATGAAAAACATGCTTCCCTGGTCACTGTTAAAGTGCTAGGCTCTCTAAAAAGGAGGTGCTATTCTATATAGATTAAAGAACAGTGAGATCCAAGATAAGCTCACAGTCAGACCATTCAGAGAGCAGTTAGCAGTGCTATGCTGCTATTTCTGCTGTCTGTATAATCTCTTACCTGCTGACCTGTGCCACGTTATTTTTATCTCCTACAATGCATACCATCCTCTGCCTTTCATGCTACCTCCTCCTAAATAAACCCACACACATTCTATTAAACGCCTCTGAGTTTCCACTCCCAACAGCTTTGCAAAAAACCTGCCATTCCTTAAAAGTCAAGCCTTGTCTGGGGCTCTTTTGTGGAAGAGCAACATAAAGAACAAAGACAGAAGCATCATGTGCTCTCTTTCAGAAGCCATTCTATTTCCTCTGCTTCCACAAAGGATTTGACTACTTAGTCCTTTACCCCAGCATACTATAGTCTGAGGACCAAAAATGGCACCCTGCCTGGTTTTATAAAGCTTTACTGGAATGCTGTCACATCCACTTATTAACATATATCTATGGTTGCTTTCTCTCTGCAAAGACAGAGTATTTGTGTCTGAGGTAAGAACTTGCTGCAGAGTGTGTGTGACTTCCAAAGCCTAAAAATTATTTACTTCCTGATCCTTGAAGAAAACTTTGCCAGGGACTAGAGTAGGGTGCTTGTCTTGCAAATGGCTGACCTGGGTTCAATCCCTGGCATCCCATATCCCTGAGCCCTGCCAGTGAGTGTAGATTCAGCAGTAAGCCCCAAATACAGAAAAAATAAAAGATAGTCCCTGCTTTACACTGCTGCATGGTATCCATTCTAATTCATTACAAAGATATATAGATCTATTTCCCAGATTTCGATATCAGTCAGCTTTCACCTCAGCAAACTTTCCTTGACATTGATTAATGCATTTCTGTCCTTTTCACCCATGGTTCCTTATGTTTTAATACTTGGAAGTTATAGCCATTTGAATCTTCTTTCACTTGCAATGAAACAGAAATCTTAAAAAGAGATTCATTCTTCCTTAACTCTTTTAAAAAGACTGAACTGAGAGAAAGATGAAGATAACCAGATGCAGTAATGCACTGGGATTCATACTCCGAGACAGTGAATTACAGTCAGTCATTTCAAGTGCATTCAGCCTGAGAAAACTTGATTTTTCTAGACCTGACCAAGACCTCTGTTTAGGCTCAAGACTCCACCAGCACACTTCCTATTCCTCTGGATTCATTTCCTGACAACATACCACATGGCCAGACAGTCACTATAATTGAAGGACGTAGGAAACCTATTTCCAAACAACATATTTAGGAAATGAGACTGCTATCCAATATTTGTATTTATTTTAATGTTGCAATCAATTAGCCATTGTTTAGTATAGAAAGGATCCTTGCATATTAAAAAACATTGAACTTTTCTGGTGTCTGGGCCACACCCAGGACTTTCTGCTGAAGGTGCTCACGGAACCATGTGAGATCCTAGGGATTGAATATGGGTCGGCCACATGAAGAGCAAGCCCTACCCACTGTACCCTATTTTAACTTTTAAATCAAAAGTATACCTTTCTTTTGCCCTGTATTAATGAGGCACATTGAAACTAAAGTAATAGGGATTTTGAAAGAGACCACGGTTAACAATGAATCTGTGAAGTATGTTTTACATAAAACACGGTTTCTAATGAAATGCCTGAAAATAAAACCTAAATAATTTGCTGTGTGTTCAGAATGCAGAATTCAGTTGATGCTTACTTTGACAATTGCTTGGTGTAGAATTAAAGATGCATAGCCTTTATCATCAGCAAGACCACAACTATATCCCCAAAGTAAATCATTCTAACAACATTATCCTTTCTGATGTCCAGAATTTTAAAAATAAACCCAAGAGAAAAGTTTAAACAAGCTTCCAGCCCTTGGTTTCCAGGCCAAAGGGTAATAGGCAAAGCCAAATTCCATGAAACGCAGAAGGACCCTTGGCTTTGACTGCCTTAATAATTAGAGTACCTAGGCTATCTTAATAATGCAGTTCAGGGGCTGGAGCAATAGCACAGTGGGTAGGGCATTTGCCTTGCATGTGGCCGACCCACATTCAATTCCCAGCAACCCATATGGTCCCCTGAGCACCTCCAGGAATAATTCCTGAGTGCATGAGCCAGGAGTAACCTCTGTGCATCGCCCGGTGTGACCCAAAAAGCAAAAAAAAATGCAGTTCAGTCAGTATTTATTTAAATACCGTTATGGTGGAGGTGCAGTATGAAGCCCTGGGGTGAGAAAAGGGAGTGAGCAGTTTGGGAGCCCTGCTTTCAAGGAGCTTGTGAGTCAAGTGAATTAATTCTGTTGTCAGAAAATATAACTGTGAATTGTAGATGAGTGTTTTTTCAATTTGTCAAAGGAGTCAAAATGAGTAATGCTAGGATTCATTAGAAATATGATGAATTAGATAATACAGGAACTAAGGTGCTTGCCTTGCATGAAGTGAACCTTGGTTGGATTCTCTGCACTACATAACAGCCCCTAAAGCACTGCCAGAGGTCACTCCTGAGCACAGAGGGGGGAATAGCCCCTGAGTACCACTGAGTAATACCCAAATATTACCCCCCGCCCGCAAATGAAATTTTCTCCCTTTCTTTATTACAATTGCCTGGTATGTACTTATCACAGTAATGTCCACCACTAAGGGGCCAGTAACCACTTTTACCTCTTTTACCTGGTTTGAGAACTATCATGAATACCTTAACCATGCTTGCGATTTTTATACTAAGGTGTCTTTGACTCACGAAACTTCAGAGGGAAGGACAAGGGCAAGGGGCACATTTAGGCAGGAAGAGATGGGCCATACCTAGAAAACCTTTCGATGTATGTTAGAAATTTCACACCCTAAACTTGAGTTTTGAAAGATATCTTTTAGAATGCATCAAAACTAGCAGTTCTCAATATTTTCATGGAGATTTAGTCTTTATTAGCTCTAAGCAGGATGGATTGGAGGAAAGGGAGAAGCTAGCCAGGATCTCACCCATCTCTGCTTTTGTCTACTCTACTTACCAGGATTTCAGATAAGAGTATTTTCGGAAGTCTCATTGCTAAAGGGTCAGTTTGAACCATTTATTTTGAACTTGGGAGAGAAAAGAAAATCATGTTCCCAAAGCATATGGGTACAGTCACAGGTCCCTCATTTTCTAATTCTCCTAGTACCTCTCTTATTAGAACCTACTATTAACCCATAAATAAATGCATACAGGTATGGGATACCATAAACAAGACATTTAGCTATCAATTCTCAAGGCTCCTTGGTAGTTGCTAAATAATGAAGAGTAAGTTGATGGCTCATTCTTATATCTGGCTCTGTAGCTTAACCATCAGTGGGACTATGTCCTTCTCCCCATTTTTCTTCCCGTAGAGCATTCTAGAAATGCCCCTAGTCCCACCATGCACATGCTCAGCTTCTACCAGAGAGTAAAACCCTCCCAAGAGGAAGAATTTTAGCTTCTTTGTTAAATGAAAGTCAGAGGCTGTTTATATCATTGTGTGTTGATTACCAGTTGAGAGAGAGAGAGAGAGTGGAGTCTGAGATGTTTGGATATTAAACCTGAGATTGTGCGATCACCCTTGGAAAAAAAAACAATGCTTGATTTGTTACATTTCTCTAGTGTGCTAGTTTTCATCCACTTCTAACATGTGAATTCTATGGATTCTATATATAAGTGATGTCTTCTAGATCAGCGTTTCTCAACTAGGGGCCATATGACCCCACTTGTGGCCCCTAGAATATTCCAAAGGGGCCCCAGGCGAAAAATCACATATATGAAGGACTATGGGAAGGAAACAGTGTTGGAAGAGGGCTGCGGTGGGGAAAAATGTTGAGAAACACTGTACTAGATTATGTTATCTGTTTACACTGACTTTAAGTGTATTGTAAAGGTTATTTGACTGGATGTGTCTTTGGGGTTTTTTTTTCCCTTTTTTTCCCCAGAAGGTACTTAAATGAATTGTCATCTCAACATTTATTTGGTAAAACAATCAAATTGGTTATGAAACTGTATATTTGTGCATGGAATTTGTTTCCTTTCTGATATTTCTGCCTCTTCCTCTTTCTGTTATTAAAGGAAGAAATACCCCTGGAAAGCCAGTGAGAGAGGTTAGTGAGATTCAGGCTCACGGCCATAGCTTCTGTCTGTTTCATTCGCTTTCTATGTTTAGTGTTTGTGTGAAAATTGTTATTGTGCACCCGCATGTAACACACCTGTCATCATGTAAGGATGGTAGTCACTTCCCCACTTGCAGCTCATGAGGAACCTTCTTCAATGTTCATTGCCATTGTCATCCCCAGGACGACAGGACATCGGGTTGGGGGAGCCAGAATCTCTTTGCAATGGCAACCCTTCGAAGTCCTAGTTTGTAATCCTGCAGCTCATCATCTGTTGCTATTAGCAACACAAACAAAATCTTTCAAATGAATTTAGCCTTGAGCATAATGGATGAGTCATAAAGCTTCCTTTTACTTCCAGGACCCTAGCATTTGCAGCCTGTGCCCTTGCCTTTTATTCTTCTGGAGTCATTTCATTTTGTTTTTTTTTCTTCCTGCTTTCTACATTCCTCCTTTCCCACTTTTGCTGAAGGGTGTTGAACACTTGCCTTGTGCCAAGCACTGTTCTAAGAACTTGTCATCTTTTTCATTATATAATCTTCATGGGAAAGCTAGGGGTGTGGACTCTCACTAACCCCAGTTTACAAACAAGAAAACTGAATCATATGCAATGATGTGGTAAGGCCAAAGGGATAGGACCAGAATTGGAGTCAGGATAGCCAACATAGGCTTAAAACGTATGCTTTACAGACATGTTTGAAAGCCTATATCATCTGAGCTTACCTTTTAGAAGATGCTCTTTTAGTATTTGGCTTTTGGGGCCAGATAGAACAATAACCAATTAGGTAATTTTAAAACACAGTGGAGTCATAAATGTTTTTTTAATACTTTCTCCTGGTTAAAATAGGAGGTATAGGGTACAGCATTATCAGTGATTACAGTTTGGGGTTCTGCAGTGAAACCTTCATAATCTTATTCTACCAGGAATATTATCTAAACATTGAATTACCTAATCAAATGAATATTGAATGACAAAGTGTTACATAACAGTCCTAGTGAAACAAGATTGTCTTTCCCAAGAGTTTAGTGTGAAGGACGTGAGAAGGAAAGCTGTCCCGTGGGTGACAATAGCATGAACTATTCTGGGAGTTAGATTGGATCGGTAGAGAGTCCTTATATAAGAAGACTCTGGATCCTAAGCTACAGGAAGGGACAAGAGTAGCCACTGATTCATTTAAACATTTAGAGTCATCCTGGAAATTCTGCCAACATCTTTCCAGTCATGCAAGTCTAATAATATGTTCCTTCAGTGTGTCTATACCCATAACGGTTTCCAAGACTTGGGGTAGTGAGGTCCAAGGGAGGGCTTGGTAGGTTGTGAGGAGAAATTAAGGAAACATGAAATCTTTGAAGCTCTAAATGTTCCTGAGAGTTTGCCTCGTTCGTGTCCTTCTTATGTGAATCTTCTTGGGTTCATTATTATGGTAAGTGCCCCTTACAGTTTATTTCAGCTTGTTGTCACATAATTTTGACCCCCCCAAATATGTTTCACTCATAAGCATGTTATTCAAAAGGGGGAAACATATATCCCTTCAGGCAAATGGGCATTTGGAAAGTTTATTTCGTGAAGCGTTTGATGGTCAGAGAAGTTTTTAGAAAGTCTAAGTGCTGGTGATTTTAATGCTATGAAATACCCCAAATGTACTGTAGACCTGGCATTTTTTAAGGTGAAAATATGGAGAATACATAAGTACATTTAACTGCTGTGTTCTGGCTTTGCTTTGACCAACGCAATGCTAATCATTTCTCTGAGAATTGTATTTTTCTTAAAAAAAAAAAGAATGCCAGATTGCTATTGAGGTCTTGGACCTCTGCCAGAAAGTCTCAGTTCCAATCACTGTGGAAAACAACTCCCTCAGGCAGTAGTGGCCTGTGAGACTAAATGTGTTGCAGTTAGCGCCAACTTAGAAAAACATACAAGTGCCCTAATGTTCAACGCATGGTGCCTTTGTGTTCTACAGTCCTTGCTTAAGAATGGATTAAATTAATGCTTTTCTGTAGAAGTATTTTTGTGTTAACTTCTGCCCGCAGCTGATTGCAAAAGCCCGGATCCTGCCTGCTTTTCCAGTAATTCTTGTACTTGTAGTGTGAGCTTTAAATTTTGACTTTAGAAAAACCTGTCAGGTAAAATTAATGTCCTCACTAATGCTCTGCCTTACATACATGGATAACAGAACCAGTGTGCACATTTGTTTTCTGTATCCATATCACAGTGCAGCATTCTGCCTCCAATGGATGATTCCATATGGACTCTTGGGGGCAGCAGTTTTTCTCAGGGAGTGGGAATTTCTTTTCTGATTCTCATGCCAACCCTCCATGAAATCTGTTGCTATTATTCTACAGACAAAAGAGTATTTTGAAATGAAATAACTAAAGGCATAATAAAGATATGGGGAGGTGACTCTAAACATTTGTCTTGCCAGTATAGGGACAGCCATGAGATCATTTGTGAAAATTTAAACAGCCACAGCAGGTGAGAGATTTTCGTGGGCATATGTACACTGTATTAAGAATAATGAGCCCTCATTCTGCCTGCTTACTAATAGCAAATACGCCTAGAACCGGTGTCTCTTGCCAAGACTCAAGGAGGTTCCTTCGAAGTAGTAACTCGGTATTAATTCAGGATTAGAAGTACTACTTGGGTGTATAAGGTTTAAATACATTCACTGACCTTTTTGATCTTTCAACTGCCATCTGCCTCCCCTAGCACAAGTATAAAATATGTACTTTTTTTATTACCAACAAGTTGGGGGAATGAATCTTTCCTATTTTGCTTATGTTCTTTCTATAATACATGTTCTCGCTACCAAACAGGATTCTACTAAAGTCAGAGATGGGTAATGAGAGGTTCTCTGGTATCAGGTCAGGTATCAGGACCTTGGGTTTTGGTTTTACTGGATTAGTTAATAGCGGTTAAAAATACAAGCAATTAAAATGTGCAGTTAGAAATACATTTTCAGTTATGCATGAATAATTGTGCTGATTTCCCAGGGTTGCTGGGTGGGCAAAAATAGATACAAGGGAAGATCTATAACCTTGTGGCATCAGTTATAGCTCTGTGTTCTAAAGAGTAGTCAAAGGCCCACTATGGTGGGCTAGAAAAGTCAGAGGATTTCAGTTCTTCACAGAAGGTAGCCAACTCTTAGAGGGCCACTCTCTGAATAGTACATAGACTTTTTAAAAGATTTATATTTGCAGGCTCAATTAAATCTAACATGATTTTTAAGCTTTTAGTGATCACTGAAACTCTGCACTAATAAAGCTTAAAGAGATTTACAAACTCGACTCTATCACCTTAATATAAATGACTGAATAACATTAGACTTTTAATGTCTTAACTTGAGCAGTTCTAGCACTGTTTAAGTGCCCGCTTTTGAATTCTCTTGAGATCACAGATTTAAAATATGTCTCTTTAAATAAATATTAGAATAGAATACCTGCCCTAGTCTAATTTTTATAGGGATTTTTAGCAACTATCCTGGGAATCTGCAAAGTTGATACATGACAAGACAGTAATAGCATAGGAAAGTGGTTTCAGTTCCAGAGGCAATACTTGAATCATAGAGTGATTTACTAATGCCCAAGAATTGAAATTAGCTACATAAAATATGGAACACATACAAGAAAGGCAAGCAATAATGTCTCAGATTATCTTACCCTAGATCTGAATTTTGCAACCTTACCCAGGAACATTGTACTGCTTTTATGCTCCATGCTGGGGGATTAATGCTAGGTCAGATCACATTATTATTAAAAGGCTAGTGTGATAGTTAACCCTCATTTAGGAGGAGATCAAAATGGCTTCACAAGCGAGCCAAATCCATGCTAGACATATGGGTCATATTATAATTAGGCTCTAGAGTAATTTGGAATGAAGTGTGATTTTTATTCTGAAGCTTCCTAATTCAAATGTTAATAGTGTATGAAAAGGTCAGTACACGAGTTTATTTTTCAAAATCCAAGTAAACGCAGGGAGAAGATGCCTCTGCTATAGCCTCAGAAGGGAGCCAAGAGCTTGAAATAACCTTGAAACAAAGACTTTTTTAATGACAATCATAAGAGCCCAGCAACAGTGATGTGACAGTGGTGGCGGTTCGATAGTTAAAAACAGGGGAGTGAGGTGGGGTGCGTGGGGGATTAGATGAAGTGGGGGAACATATGCCTGGCATGGACATGCCACTGAATTCCATACCGCAACACAGGCCCACAGGCCCAGCACTTGGACTGCTGCTTGGTGGCCCCAGAGTACCGTCGGGTGTGCCCCAAAACAGCCAACCAAAAATCAGTGCAAGTACATAGTGAATCTCTTGCAGCAAAGTGGACAAGTTACGTGATCATGCAATCTTGCTATTAGGACAGGAGTCTTTGTGCTTATCCATAGAAACCAATTGATACTAAAATCGGTAAGATAAATAAGTCTGACATTTCTCTATACAAATGACACCCATAGCCTAATCTCCTCATCCTGTTGTGAGCTGATACTAACAAGGTAGAATAGCTTCATTAACAAGGCTTTGCTTCTTTGTGAAAACTGTTTTTTTTTCAAAGCTAAGTAAACCAAATCATGTTGCAAATACCCTTGATGCATCTTTTGTGTTTTCTTCACCCAGAAATGGGAAGAGCCTTCCCAAATGGCAAGTAGCCAGGTGATAATACCTGCACCTTGAATAAAGTTTGTTTTTCTCTTTGTTTTCCAGGACACAATGTAGGAAGCCTTTTCCATATGGCAGATGATTTGGGCAGAGCGATGGAGTCCTTAGTTTCAGTGATGACAGATGAAGAAGGGGCAGAATAAGTGTTTTACAACTCATGATTCCCGCATGGTTTTTATAATATTCATACAACAAAGAAGATTAGACAGTAAGAGTTTACAAGAAAAAAATCTATATTTTTGTGAAGGGTAGTGGTACTATACTGTAGATTTCAGTAGTTTCTAAGTCTGTTATTGTTTTGTTAACAATGGCAGGTTTTACACGTCTATGCAATTGTACAAAAAAAAGTTATAAGAAAACTACATGTAAAATCTTGATAGCTAAATAACTTGCCATTTCTTTATATGGAACGCATTTTGGGTTGTTTAAAAATTTATAACAGTTATAAAGAAAGATTGTAAACTAAAGTGTGCTTTATAAAAAAAGTTGTTTATAAAAACCCCTAAAAACACAGAGATACAGACACACACCCACACACTTGCACACACACACGCGCACACACACACACACACACACACTTGGAGGCAACACATTGTTTTGCATCCTTTTAACATAATATCCATAATTAAAGTCATGGTTTTTCCTTTTCTTAAGTATAAAAGATAGGACTTCCTCTAACACCATCAAATGACTATTTCCCGTTACCCTTTTTGGAGTTTTCGACTGAGTCGCTGTGGGGTTTCGTTTTATACATCTATATGTCTATGAGTATGTAAATACTATAGGTATATAGAAACATTTCTGGAGACCTTTAAATCTCTTGTTCAAATGTTTTTTGCCACTTCTAGTGGAAAGAAATTGCTTCTGGTCATCCAAGCTTACCTGCTTGGTCTACAACGAATTTTCCTGAGAGCCTAATACCGGAAGGAAATTACCACGTAAACAGCGTCTGAGGCTCCAGATGTTTCTCATTTTAAACTTTTCACTGACAACTACAACACTGAATTTTTTTCAAGAAACATGAATGAGGACACAGGACTTATTATGTCAGAGTAATTCATTAGTTGATATATTCAGCTTCTGCTGCTGGCAATGCCTCTATATAGTTTTAATGATTCTTCATTGGAAGTAAGAGCATCAGAAGGCATGTGAAACTTCTAAGCTGTGAGAGGAATAGGGTATGGCTGGAGGACGATGAAGTCCCAGCTGACCCCAGGGAAAGAAAAAACCATTCTTGAAGCAGCGGGTGGATGTGTATAAAGATACATAGAGATCTTTAGAATTACAATGGAATTATTCTTCCCTCTTCTCACAGTCAAACAGCCATAGATTTTCTTCTTTAAAAGATTTTATTCCACTGCAGTGAAGTTTCAAATTTCACAAGGCTTAATTTGAAAATAACTCTGGGGAAACCGTGTAAGACAGTAGTCCTAATCACATTGTGAGACTTTTTTAAGTATTGGCTGAGAAGCCCAGGAACTGTTTCCCTCCTTTGCATTACTCTACAAACAATTCCATGCAGGTTTGTGAGAGTGCAAATTGATTCAGATGTTCTTGATGGGTACTGTCAGATGAAAGGTACTCTAAAGCCTTTTGAGGGGATCAGGCAGGTTAAATATATGAATAAACAAAAATCATTCAAAAAGAAGAAACACTCAAGAGGACAAGCTAAGGACTGCTAGAAAAAGCTTTACTCTTTCATTTCATCTTATTAGTCTTTGTTTTTTAAAAATCATTTTCCAGTAGAAATCACTGTGTGACCTATTTTGCAAATCTGTTACCTCTTACATCAAGTGTAATTAACTTTTGGAGAGTGGATTTTGTCCATTGTTTCATTAATAATAATTAACATCAAACATGGCTTCTCATGCTATTTCTACCTCACTTTGGTTTTGGGGTGTTCCTAATAATTGTGCACACCTGATTTCACAGCTTCACCATCTGTCAATTGTGTGAGCATTTTCTCTATTTTCTTTTTTCTTTATAATTTCCAAAAGAAAACCCAAAGTTCTAAGGTAACAAATTATATATGATTTGGTTTTAGTCTTGGATTTTTTCCATTCTGTGATGCTAGACTTCTACCCAGGAATCTTTTTAACCACAACTTAAAACTAGGGATTATTTTACTTCCTACTAAGAAGTTTTGAGTTTTATTCTTAAATCAGAGGTAAATAGAGTGCGTAATTTTAATCTTTTTGTTTTATCTTTTAGACATTAGTTCTGGAGTGAGTCTGTCAAAATATTTGAATAAAATTTGAGAGCTTTATTGCTACATCTTAAGCATAATTTGGACATTATTTCGTGTTCTTTATAACCACTGAGTATTAAAATGTAAATCATAATGTAACTGAAGTGTAAACATCACATGGCATGTTACGTCATTGTTTTCAGATACTGGGTTCTCACTTGAGTATCATAATATATTGTGTTTTAACACCAACACTGTAACATTTACTAATTATTTTTTTAAACTTCAGTTTTACTGCATTTTCACAACATATCAGACTTCACCAAATATATGCCTTACTATTGTATTATATTACTGCTTTACTGTGTATCTCAATAAAGCACGCAGTTATGTTACAAAAAAACATTGAGTGGACTACAATACTTTGTGGAGTCAGGGGTTTGTTTTTAACTGGGGGCCACTAATGATGCGGGGAAGAGGTCACTCACAACAATGGTCACTCACAACCCAGTCGTTCTTAGGTGAGCATCTCTCCATCAGTGCTTGAAGACCAAAAGGGCTACATGCAGAGGTGCTTGGGGCGTCCATGTTGCACCCAGGATCAAAATCTGAACCTCACATGTGTTAGGCACAGCTACCATTTGAGCTATCTCTGTGATCTTGCAGTACTTTGTAATTTTAATCCAAATTAATTTCACAGTATATAATTCATGTGCCTGGCTAATAAACAAAAAAAAATCTAGAAAGGCAAACAATGGCAAGACCCTAATAATTCTATTCCCACATTATCTTCTCTGCCATATGAGTAAATATTAATTTCATGTGTCCTTCCAAAGTATCTCTTCATATTTCCAAAGTATCTCTTTATATATAAACATATATTCCTTTTCCCCTTTATTACACAGAGGCATTTTATGCATCCTGTTATAGACTGATTTTTTTCTTAATTCACCAACTTGTGATCCATTCTTTATTTTAATGCAAGTCGGTCTTTCTTTTCAGTGTATCAATTGGTTTCTCAATTTTTCTGGAGTGAGAAAGGGAGTACAGCAGGTAAAGAACATGCTTTGCATGCAGCCACCCTGGAATTGATCCCCAGCATCTCACACAAACCCCCAATAACAGCAGGAGTAATTCCTGAGGGCATAGCCAACCCTTGACCATTGCCAGATGTGGCCCCAAAACAAATTATTTAGTGTCATAATATGCTAACATATATCTCTGAGATTCTATTAAGTTTCCTCTCTGTCTGATATGTGGGGTGCTTTTAGTCTTTGTCTATGATAAATAACACCACACTTTTCTCATTTCACCATTTTTGGGTTTTTTGTTTTGTTTTGGTTTGGGGGCCACACCCGGTGGCCTGATGGTGTTCAGGGATCACTCATGGCAGGCTCAAAGGACCATATGGGGTTCTAGGGTCAAACTGGGGTTTGCTGCATTCAAAGCATAAATGCCCTACTTGCTGTTCCTCCTGCCCCCTCCATCATTTCACCATTTCACTTGTGCACTGTAGCACTGTCGTCCCATTGTGCATCGAGTTGCTTGAGTGGGCCCAGTAACATCCAACAACAAATTGTGAGACTTGCTGTTACTGTGTTTGGCATATCGAATACGTCACGGGGAGCTTGCCAGGCTTTGTCATGCAGGCGAGATATTCTCGGTAGCTTGCTGGGTTCTCCGAGAGGGGCAGAGGAATCGAACCCGGGTCAGCCGAGTTCGAGTCAAACGCCCTACTCACTGTGCTATTGCTCCAGCTCACTTGTACAAAAAAGAAAAATATCTAACTCTGGGACAAATTCTTACAAGTGAGAGTTCTAGACTACAGGTTTAATAAGTGTTTGTAGCTCAGAAGATAACTTGTATGCAGTAGTAGTATCATCATTGTCTGTTTTCTATTAAAGGATAAGTATGCCTATTAACCAGGTTGAAATCTACACTTTCCAAGAGAACTGTTTATCATTTCTATTATTATCAGTGATACAGTTTTAAAGGGAGGTGTAAGTAGGTGTCCCACCTAAAACAATGCCTCAGAACTTATTCTTAGGAGGAGTTAGGTATTGCGTTCAATCTATCAACAGATACTGTGACTGAACTCATTCTTGTAGTTTGTTATTAGAATTCTATTTCTTATTAAAATTGAATGACAATGCCCTTCAGAAATAACCAGAAAGAAACTTTGAAAACAGAGGTTTATAACTTACAAGATCTGGAAATTACACAACAAATGTGGACCATGGAATGAAGCTACAGTCAGGGGGGAAGGGGAGAAGGAAAGGGAGAGAGAAAGGAAAGGAGGGGGAGAGAGAAGGAATAGCATATAAGCATGAGTCTTGATTTTATTGGGGTTGAAGGTAGGGGTCTAGAGTTTTGTAGGCTCATTCTTTTTTTTTTGTAGTCTATAAGTTTTATTGTACATTTCAAATATAAACAGAAAATGAGATAATCGACAAAAACACCAAACTGAAATGCACTGAAACAGACCCAAAATAGAGAAAATAAAGTCAGACATATCTATAAGAATATTGATAAATCAATGAAAATAATTTTTAAAAAAATTTTAGTAGCTGTATGCTCAATCTTTACTGGATAATTTAGAGCACTGGGAGAGAAAGGAAGTGAGAGCCAGAAAACCTGAGTGATCACAAAGGATCAGTTACATTAAGCAAGACCTGTAAAGCGAAGAACCTCTGAGAAGGGAGGCAGCCTGACTCTTTTTTTTGCCAGACAGAAGTGACTATGTGTTACCAGGGAACTCTATTTGGAGTGGATGCCTTAGACCAAAGCCTAGTTAAGCACTTGCGTTATCAGTGGAAAAGCCAACTTTCAGGATTTAAAAATGCCTCTTCCAAACAAAAGGGAATGCCCTGCCACAGAGGCAGGGTGGGATGGGGGGATTGGGGGTGGGAGGGATACTGGGAAACGTGGTGGTGGAGGATGGGCACTGGTGGAGGGATGGGTACTTGATCATTGTATAGCTGAAACCCAAGCACAAAAACTTGCAAGTCTATAACTGTACCTCATGGTGTTTCACTAATAAAATAAATAAACAAATAAATAAAATTTAAAAAATGCCTCTTCCATAGTCAGGACCACCTCAGAGGAAAATCCACTCACCCCATCCTCTTCTGCCCTACCTACGGAGGAGGCTGGGGAAATAGGTAACAATGTCAGCTCTAAGAGAGGCTGATCATAGTAAGAAGTTCTCCCAGTGGGATCCAAAGACTGAGAGTCTACAATAATGAACCAATGCCCATTAGATAACAGCCTGTTTGAGTGATTCTAGAAATAGAGAGATAAGTTTATGAAGGATGATGTTAAGTGGGTGTGGCCTCTGATTCGAATTGGTCAGATTTTGAGGGTAGGTTGATGATGCTCACATAAGTGACTGCTACATTGAAGGACTGCCTTTGAAGTCCAACATAGACCTACACACTTAAATTTGAAAAGCCATGAAGCCCTCCTGCTATTCACACCACTGTTTGAAACCAATACCAGACTGGCTGTTTTGATTGCACTCAGCTAGGTCACCAAGAAATGACACATTTCACCATGTCTAATACCACTGTGTCTGGATGACCCTGAGGGGAAGGGCATTTGGCTTTCCATTCCATACTTGGCACAGGCTGCAGGGATGGGAATTGTTTCAGTCAAAAATTAAAATGGATCAAGCTGGCACATATTGTGCACCAGCAAGCAAAATGTGTGTTTGGGGGAAAGCACTGAGTCTAATGGATGTGTTCCATGAAGCCACTACGGGACTTCTCGGCATTTGCAATGTGCTCATGGTGGATGGAATACAAAGGTCAGCACTGGCACACTTGTAAAGACTTTGCCTTCAAATTAAGTGTATTAAGAACATGACTCGAGTTCTTTACCACAGCAACAAAACCAATAGAGTAAGAACCACAAACACATTCTCTAATGCTCCTTAGAGTATGCTGTGCTCTCGATAGGAAAGGGCAACTTGCCAGAAACTATAATAATACTACCATGTGAAGTTTGGGAATGTGAAATGTGAAGAGTAACTTTGGTGCACAAGATTATGTATAGAAGTTTAAATTCTAGACCATGTACTGTTTTCTTCTTGAACCATCTTGAAAGTTAAGTTTCAGACACTGTAATCCCTTGTACTTAAAAAAAACTTCACATGTATCGCCAGAGAACCAGGACATTCTCTTACAAGACCACTTAACATTTATCAAAATAAAGAAGTTTAAAATTATACCAACCTATAACCAGTCACACAGCCCATATTAAAATATCATTGTGCAATGGTGATTTTCATACTTCTGTTTCCTTAGTTCAAGATCTAAATCATGATCTAACATTTTATCATGTATATTTGATTTCGGGCTGGAGCAATAGCACAGGGGGTAGGGCGTTTGCCTTGCATGCGACCAACTCGGGTTAGATTCCTCCGTCCCTCTTGGAGAGCCCGGCAAGCTACCAAGAGTATCCCGATGCATGGCAGAGCCTGGCAAGCTCCCCGTGGCATATTTGATATACCAAAAACAGTAACAAGTCTCACAATGGAAACGTTACTGGAACCTGCTCGAGCAAATCAATGAATGGAAGGACAGTGCTACAGTGCTATATTTGATTTCATTTTACTCATAATAGTCTCTACCATAGTCTTAAAAGACCTTGCTATTTAAGAATTAATTCATGGGCTGGAGCGATAGCACAGCGGGTAGGGCATTTGCCCTGCATGCGGCCGACCTGGGTTCGATCCCCAGCATCCCATATGGTCCCCCAAGCACCACCAGGAGTAACCCCTGAGTGCAGAGCCAGGAATAACCCCTGAGCATCGCTGGGTGTGACCCAAAAAGCAAAAAAAAAAGAATTCAATCTGGATTTGTCTGATGTGTTTTCATAAATTATTTTAGACTATGTGTTTGGGGCAAGAACAGACAAAAAGGAGGATAGATTCTCAGCACTTCAGAACAGGAAGCAGGAGATTATGTAGTATTAAGTTTTTGTCATGCAGTTAAGGTGGTTATTGCATGTTTGTCTATTGGCTTACATTCTAAAAACTAATCATTCTTAAATATTTAGGTTTAATAATTAAAGCCATCTACCACAAGCCTACAGCAAGCATCATCCTCAATGGGGAAAAACTGAAAGCCTTCCCTCTAAGATCAGGGACGAGACAGGGATGCCCACTCTCTCCACTGCTGTTCAATATAGTACTGGAAGTACTTGCAATAGCGATTAGGCAGGAAAAAGATATTAAGGGCATTCAGGTAGGAAAGGAAGAAATCAAGCTCTCACTATTCGCAGATGATATGATACTCTACTTAGAGAACCCAATAACTTCCACCAAAAAACTCCTAGAAACAATAGACTCGTATAGTAAAGTTGCAGGTTATAAAATCAATACCCAAAAGTCCATGG